TTACATTCTATACCCAAACATGTACTTATAGCTTTTGTATACTGATACTAGATCAGAATATGTTGTGGCTCTTCGTTCAGACGTCACTCAAATACAGAGGGCGCGATCGATTATACTTGTCATTTTCCTGTTTCAACATTTTTTTTCCTTTTTTTTTACAATTCACGCAATGCTTTCACACTAAGCGAGTCGCTCGGGACGTTCACGTCGTTTCTGATCCTGCTTTGCGAGGTTATGTTAATGGAAAGGAAGTAGTCATTCTGCTCAATACAGATGGCTGCGAATTATGCCGACAAAAAAATTCCACCAGTTGCTCGTATTTTTAGCGCAACTTGCATCGTATAATATACGGAAAGCGGCTATTGCGGTAACAGTTGTTTAGGCGTGGCGGTTACCTGCTGCGACATTATAGACTGGAGGGTTAAGCGGGCTCTTTTTTTACGACGTCGATGTTTTGGCAACCATGATGCGCGTTGTTTCCGATGCGGCTAGATTTAACAGTCGCAAGGATCTGTCGTCGAAATAGATTTTTCCGAACATTCCGCTGGCTATCCGTGGCGATAACCAAACACACCACACACACACACACACACCACGACATCACAACATACACACACACACTTACACAACACACACACACACACACACACACACACACCACACACACACACACACACGGAACGCCGCCGACCTCACTTACACACACACGCACACACGCACGCACACCCCCGACACGCACTCACTCACACCACTGCACACAGCACACACACAGCAACCACACACACACACACAGCCACACATCACACACATACACGCACACGCACGCAACACGCACGACGCACACGCACCACGCCAGACACGCACACGGCACGCACCACGCGCACGGCACCTGCGTCGACACGGCACACAGCGCCTCGCACGCGCCACGCACACATCACGCCACGCACGCACTCGCACACCACACGCGCCACGCACACGCACACGCACACACGCGGGCGCACACACACAAGACAACACACTCACACCACACACACACACACACACACCACAACACACACACACACACACACCACACACACACACACACACACACACAACGCACACACTACACGCTGATTCACAAGAACGTAAGGGGTACGAGCGCGTTGCGACACGCGTTCCAGCCTGCTTATTACAGAAGTGGCAAGCGAGCTCTTAAAAGAATGCCAACTATCATCAACAGTCGGACGAGTATTTCCTTTGAAGCCGTATGAAATCCCGGCAAATAGCTCCAACAGGTGACCCACTCGAAAGGGGTGGTAATCACGTAGACTGACGCATTGATTGCGGCGAGCAGAGGCGGCGGCGACGGTGAAAGTATTTAACTGGCGGACATCTATTCCTGTAACGGATGAGAAGCAGCTGACTGCCCGACATGTCGGGTTTCAATAACTTTCTACGAGAGCAGAAAGAAACGCGGGTTATTTTACCCCGCTGGCTGTACCGTGGTGGCTGTGAAGTTTGGTGCTTCCAATCGTTCGGCATCGTGCCTTCGTATTAGACTACGACCACGCCGTCGCACATCCGTTGCAGCCGTACACACACAGATTAGACGTACAAACAGAGCTGATTTTTACCGCATAAAGAATATTATGAAATGGTGTGTGTGTGGTGTGTGTGTGTGTGTGTGGTGTGTGTGTGTGTGCGTGCGGCTGCTGCGTGCGTGCGTGCGTACGTGCATGCGTGCGTGCGTGCATGCGTGCATGCGCGCGTGTGTGTGTGTGCGCCGTGCTTGTGTGGCCCGTGTGTCGTGTGTGCGCAGTGGCGTGATATGACCGATATGATATGATATATGACCCGCGCGATACGATGCGACAAGACATGAGCGGCTTGACATGGCATAATATTATGTGCTATGATGTGATGTCATTAGATGTGATGTAATGTGAAATGATATGATAGCAGTAATAGATTGGCCATGGTCGATGCACACTTTTCAATACGTATAACTAGCATAGACTCTATAACTAGATCTTCAACTAGATTAGTCTTTACAACTAGATTCTTAGATATTTAGGATTAATCTTCAACTAGATTCTATCTACTAGTTCAGAGTAACTGTTCGGCAGTAGTTGTGCTAGCACATATGTTTTGTACAAACGACTATGAGCTGTAGCTGTGGACCGCGTTGCTACGCGTTTATGTAGCAGCAGCTGCAGCAGCAGCAACCAACACATCAACAAGAATGTGTGACATCACACGCCATGCAGATCCATTCATACCTCACACTCCCCGAGCACGCACTGGGTCTCGCTATATTACAGCTTCTAGACAAAGAGCAGGGGCGCTTTAGTGTGAACAACGAGACAGTGGGCAGTGTTCTAAAAACCAGGCGAATATTCGTAAAGCTGTCCACGTAATTGTGAAAAAAATAGGCACACATGTAAATATATTCTCTTTGTTGTTACTCGTAGCGGTTAGGAATTAAATTAATTAAGGCCAGTATATTCATAGTGGTAGTTGGTGTGCAATTAACGAGCTACGCACGCACGCACGCACTCACGCACACACACACCACGGCACGCCACTCACGCACACACACACACACACACACAACACACACAAACACACACACCAACACACACACACACAAACACACACACCACACAAACGCACGCACGCACAACACACACCACACAACTCGCACGCACGCACACACACACACGCCACGCACACCACACCACGCACGCATGCACCACGCTCACGCACGCCACACACACACAACAACACACACACACACGCACGCACGCACGCGCGCAGAAAACCCATAATCTATAACGCTTGAAAATTAAATGGTATTAAAAATTAATTTTCATTTTTCCTACAAAATGTTTTTTTTATTGATTAGACTTTTGATTTTGTAAGTGACGAGTAATCAATTGTAACCCGGCCCAAAAACATTTTGGGGGGGCAAAAATAGTATTTTCATAATTGACCTGATACTATAAAGACAGACAGGAGCGTGAATAACTGCAACATCCCTACTGCGTATGTTGTCACGCTCAAATGTATACATACAGCTCGCATTCCGAACATAGTTAATTTTTTAATGACCGTAACGTCACTAAAAAATATCCAGCAAGAGATCGTGAAATAGAGGCTGCGATTTGCGAGCCTCTATCTTTCATCAGTACGGACGACGATGTCAACAACATTTCGAAAGAACAACACTGCCTTTTCCGAGAAGACATTGTGCATTTACCGCTAACGAATATACGCCGAGAAAAGCCTGTTAGGGCATGCGCTCACAATTACGCAGCGCAGCGAGTTCCGCTAGAGCTACACTCGGGGTTAAGTGCGCATAGAACGGTAACAGCCTTCCTCGTCGAGGCCCGAGGATGTAAACGCTTCCGCTCTCTGATACGTCCGCATCCACCCATGCGCCAGACCTGCTGTTACCACTCACAACTTGTCATGCCTCTTGCGTTCTAATGACTCATGGCGGATATGCTCCTGCGTGATACTGCGACACTTGAGTATCAACTCACGCTCTATGTTCTTACTATGCTCTACTCTCGGCAGTGTCTGCTCTTGCTGCCCCAACAGGAATAATAAGGAGGTGAAAATATACTGCTACAAATACTGCGTTGTGTAGCTCTCAACATCAAATCGGTTAGTATCGTAAAACCAAATGATGTAAAAGTTATACAGTTAAAACTAATTTGTTCAGAGTATCCGTCTATCGTAGGAAAAAAAAACTTATTTTTTAAATATATCTTTACTACGCGATGGCAGTCTATCCCACACTCGAATTTTCTACGAATTAGAGCTGATTAGAAGCCGAGAATAGAGAATATAAGGCGATGCAGGAATCGGCATTACGAAAGTATTACGTACAACGTACGGCATTGGAAGCAGCTGCATATAGTGATTGCTGGCTGTACACGCATCACTCAATCTTATCCAATACTCAGGAATTTTATTCACCATATCTCATCCTGACATACCGTACGCTTGCAGGACTGTACTATACATACAGCCAGACGGCAACGATGATTATAGCGCAATGTCCACATCGATAGCGTGAATGTATGTAGTGGCACAGCAATGTCACCTATATATAAAGCCTTTGCAATCGGCGTCGCGGATATGGATCGGTGCTATGACCTACACCATGTATCTGCGCGTGCTCAGGCGGATGCTTAACAGTGGGTAGCTTATAATATATAAACTGTAATTATTTAACGTAGCTAGGTTTTAGGGACAGACACGCCGTACGATGATTTCACTGTGTATTTTGACTGCCTTACAATTCGATAATCAATATCGATCGAAAATTCGATCTCAATACTGACTTTCAACTTACTGTATGTGATATGAAAAACAACGAGGTATCACTAGCAATCCAACAAATCCAACAATAGACAAAATCCCATATCAAAGATTAGACACCCGTCGATACCGACCAATGTAAGTTAATACATAATATCGAAATATTGTATTCGCGCTTACACGTACTCCGTTGCGATTGCTTGGGCTGGTTGTTGGATTCGTGGGAGACAATTTGCCGTAATCTTTTAGAGACTGAAACAGCGCAAACATCAGTCCGGCAAAAACCGAGCCGCCTGCTGAATATATAACGGCGGGCAACCGCTTGATAACATTGTAACGGATAAATGGCACTGGAACCCCGCTGTGCCACGACCAAGAGAAAAACGCCCGAAATACACACAGCGATCGAAAAGTCTCGTTTCAGAGCGACTCGGTTGAAAAGGACGATATATTATTACGACCCCCCCCCCCATATTCGCCACCTTTCCCACAAGCACCACACGGCCCACGCACACGCACGCCACGCACGTACGCACACACACACCACACACACACACACACACACACAACACGCACGCACGCACGCACGCACGCACGCACGCACGCACGCGCGACGGCGTGCACCCGCTCGTCTGTTTGCGTTCGTTGACTCATTTGCGTCGGCTAGCTAACCACGCCGCAGTCACCCAGTGTTGCTGCTGCTGCTGCTGCTGCACGCAGCTTTCCACGTTAGCGGCTTTTGTGTTGCAGCCAGCTGTTGCCTTTATGATGTTAATAGCAGCAGATGTGAGTAACTATTTGGTTATAGTGTATTAAGTGTCGAGAGCGCGGTTAAACGCGGCGTATCTTAGCGGTGACTAGTCATTTCAAACGCGCCGGCGTTTAAGCTGATTCAAGTAAGTTCGCTGCGTAAGATTGATTCACCCGTGCGATTATATATATATATATATATATATATATATATATATATATATATATTGCGAGGTATCGGATACACCGGGCAGTTACGCGTTTCTAGCGATACAACAAACAGATGACTATCGTTGGAATGCACTACTAATATATACTTTAACAGAGAATAAATAACTCACGGTGTGATTGATTGTAGTGGCACGGGTGTTTGGACGTGAATGGACGTTTGTAGTCACTGGTTGTAAATATGTGATTAGAGCGAATAGATTAATCAGGGGGTTTTCTTCTTTAAAATGAGTCATAAGAATTTTGGCCTAGCTCTAATTTACTGGTAAGAGAGACATTTTATTTAAAGTTACTGGATGCTCTATACACAAGCAGCCACGCATGCACGCACGCACGCACGCACGCACGCACGCACACGCACACACACGCACGCACGCACACACACACACACATGCACACACACACATATATATATATATATATATATATATATATATATATATAAACACTTTAGTTGCGCATACTAAAAATATTGACGAATACAACATTTTGCGAATACTCATATAGTAAACTTGCCCTTGCCCACATATTTAATAAAACGATCAGCAAGTACTCGACGTCTCCAAACTTCTGGAGCACTGGCGTTTCATCAGCTTCACAAGCAGTACCGTTTCCCAATTAATATGATTGATAGCGATACGCTATTGATAGAGCGGCAGGGGGTGAAATTCTTGGAAGCCTCGCAATTATGCGAAAAATGCTGATAGGTCTAACATTGCAATTAGTGTGCGACACTCACGTCACGCATGCCATTCTTCCTACGATATCATAAATATAGCGAAAGAGAAGTATATACGTGGCACAACTGCCGAGCCGCATTCTCAGTCACATTGCTCGTAGAATTACACGTTCTTACTGCATACATTTTCTCGTGGCAGGGTTAGATAATACAAGCTCAAAGCCGTGAGGAATCAGCTGGGATTGTCCGCGAGATAACATCGGCGATTGCGTATAGCCGTGTCACAAAGCTGACATGGGCAAGAAAACGCCGAGAAACCGAAAAGGACATCCCATCTACACCAGGTTAGTTCATATTAAATCAAGTAATTATTCTATGTGCTAATGAACGAAAAGAAAACGCCGAGAAACCGAAATGGGCATCCAATCTACACCAGGTTAGTAATATGAAAGAAAGTGAATTATTCCATGTGCTTAATGTCGCACAGTAGAGAGAGAGAGAGAGAGAGAGAGAGAGAGAGAGAGAGAGAGAGAGAGAGAGAGAGAGAGAGAGAGGAGAGAGAGAGAGGAGAGAGAGAGAGAGGGGGGTGAGAGGGAAGAGGAAACACATGAGGCCACTTGAAACGTTTCAATAAATATAATGCTAATAAATACGAAAATCTAATACTAGTACTACAAATTGCTTAATATGACAGTAATGGTTTCTTTTGACCTATTATTGCCGGACAGTTGTCCTGTCATGTCCGTGTAACATGCACTATGCACACACCACTAGACGCCTGCCATTTGCTCACCTGTGGGCACAGTGACTGTTAAATATATATAGTATATTATATAGTTATAGATATACTTATAGTATAGTATATAGTATAGTATATTATAGGCTATATATTTAATGGTAAGCGTGCAACAGTCGCGCGACTCGCGAGAAGCAGTGGCATCCCGGCAGCGTCGTTGAGTTGGTGCGGGTTGTTGGACGGAATTACAGGAAACTGTTGGCGAATTAGTGTGAAAGAGAGTAGGGCTAGTAATAGGCTATAGAAACATTCTATTTAGTTAGCATTATATTTTTACTTGAGAACGCTTCAACGTTGCCTGTGGAGAGAAAGAGTGAGAAAAGAGAAAGAGAGAGAGAGACGAGCGACAGAGAGAGAGGGAGAGGAGAGAGAAGAGAGAACCGAGAGGAGATGCGAGAGAATGAGAAAGGAGAGTGAGAGAGAGGAAGAGTCGAGAAAAGAGAGAGATGGAGGAGAGAAGAGAGAGGAGAGAGAGAGCGAGGAGCGAGGGGAGAGAGGAGAGAAAGTAGAGAAAGAAAGAGAGAGAGAGAGAGGCAGCGCGACAGGATGTGGAGAGAGAGAGAGAAGAGAGAGCAGAGGAGAGAGAGGAGGAGGAAAGGAGAGAGAGCAAGATGAGAGAGAGGAGAAGAAGGCGCTCGCGAAAATGGTCTATATTATTCCGCGAAAGGGTTCACGTCGAGCTGTATATGATTCACCAAATTATTATTATTAATCTCACGAGCATATCCGTATTAGCGCAGGTAAAATTAAACAGTCGAATTAAAAGAACGCCACACGCGCCGTTGTGCCTGACGTGAGAAGGAATAGCAGTGATATGTGTTTACTGACGATATAGTTTCATTGGAAGCGTGATGCAATATGTGAGCAGCAATAAACAATGAAGAATAGGATCATGTCACCCTAACACCAGCACATATATATTATTATATTATATCATATATATATAATATATATATATATATAGATATATATTAATATATATACGCCCATTAAATTTATTATTGCAGTTCCTCTTTTCAATTTCTCCCTCGTTCGCTCTCTCGGCTCTCTCTTTCCGTTCATCTAATATTTTTCCCGCGCTTTGCTACAGAATTATTTTATTTAATCGATAAGTTAATATTCACAATTTGACAGCAAAATTAATTTAAATCCGAAGCACACAATGAATTTTAAAAATTACATTTTACAAACGATACAGATAGTTTACCAGCATTTATAACACGGATGCTTGCCTCAATTTTCGCGCAAATTTAGCAGAGAAGACATACGCGGAACAATACTGTCTCAGCAAGGGTGAGTACGCGATCTAGCTAAGCAAAGGCAGAACGTACGGGGCGTTCAATCGAGAGGAAGCCTCTCAAGGAGCGAAGAAAACCGTTTCTTGGGTCTCTCCTTAAGCGTGGCCACAAGCGGTCAAGGACAGTCGTAGAGCATCGCAACTCAATCGGAACAAGGGACGCTTCGAGGCCTGTATTAACAGGCTGGGCAGGCAGGTCTGGGTGGATAGCCAGCGATAGAGGAAACCGACAGAACGACATACGAAGGTATGTAAGGTAGCCAGCGGCGCCTATTTTCACCACCCAAACACGTTTCTCCGCGACAAATTTACTGTGGCTTACACGTATTCAACGCATGAGTAAAAATTCGGACGCGGCCACGGACAAACTGCTACCTAGTACTACTAATTACTGTCGGCTACATCGTTATTTGAAACACGGAGAAAAATTTTGTTGAACCAACATGTTATCGAAAAGCGCTACGACAACCCAACAACAAACAAACTGTAGCTAATACGTTATTCACAATTATAGAATTAAATATCTGGATGCGACATTTGATTATTCTTTTTTACACACGGCGAGAGTACATCGAAGCCGGTCGCGAATATTCATTAATTAGTAACTCATTATATAGAATTAATTAAAATCATTTTCCGCTATCGTGTGTCACATTGGCATATAAACAATCGGTAAGTAGTGTGTGATACAGTGACGAGTTATACATCTTTAAATTGTGTTCATTGATACATGACAGTGTTTTGGTCTCGACGAAATCTAATGTTATAATACACTATATATTAATCGTACTAATTACGTACTCTTACGGTCGACAGAGTGCCATAATGTATTCCTACAAACACTCGCTGTGCTGTACCGCTATGAACCTATTAAAAGACTCTCTGTTATTTAAGGTCAGGCTCAATATCTACTTGCTTTCGTAAAACGGTAGCAAACCCCGCTTTGCAAGTCCGCCGGCCGGCGCATCCTCTTCTTCTCGTCTCCCACACAGAACCTCTCTCTTTCTCTCTGCGCTCTCTCACGACACACACAACACTCTCTCTCTCTCCTCTCCTCGCGCGCGGCTATCTATCTCTCTCCACTCTTTTTCGTCTCGAACATCTCACCCTCTCTCTTTGTCCTCTCCTGCTGTATAGGTTTTCAAGGTGACTCTTTTTCAGTGGTCACTTTCTCTGGTGTCATAGCAAGACACGAAATAATTCAGCCCAAATTTCAGCGAAATTCTTAAGAGGCAGTCAGTCCTGGGATATACTCTTCAAGCAGCGTTTAATCCTAAATCGTCTGCATCCGCAAAAAACCACGCCGCAAAATAATTAATGCTATAAGCAGACCGAGGGTTGTAGGAGAGAACGTTTTTCGGGATGCTCTCAATTAAAATACTGCTGCGCGGCTCTTTTTCCCGAGGCAAGCTCTTCTTCGATATTCGAGGACAGACGTCTACGATACGAATACCCACACCACACCACTACGCGGAGAGGCAACTTAAAACTGTCGTACTTGCCGACTTCGACCGAGCATAGTCGCCTGCAAGGTCGAGATACAGTTTTCCCGGAAAGCGCTCCAAGGATGTCGATGGCAGCCCGCCGGCGAGTGGTCAGTGTGGCCGACGATGCCGCTGGTACGGCCAGTCACTCCCCGTCCTCACAGTGCCCAGTGACAACAGGACTAACGGTCAGTCCTTGGAACCTCGGCGTGGTCATTGGCACTGTGGTCGGTGACTGAGGGCATCACGCAACGACGCGCTAATCTACGCGGGGGCGGATCGAACATCAGCGAGAACACGCTGCAAAGTTTCGCGACAGAGACCGAAGAGGGAACGCGCAGAGTGCGATCGCTACGCAGCGGCTGTCCAATCCATTTCGGCGATCTCGCGTCGAACACGTACCACTCGGCCGATCCGGTCGACCGCCAGCAGCAGCGACGAGAAAGCCGCTAAACTCTCACACACAAACCCGCGAGCCGAAGTTCGCTTCGCAAGAAACTCGGCGGTTCGATCTTGCAGGCCGAAACCGAAGGCGTCCTTACAGCTACGCATGGTGGTGACGACAGCGACGCCGCCGCGGGAAACTCGGCGAGTCGAGCAACCGGCCATCTGTACAGAGCAAGTCGTCGAAGACGAACACGAGCCTGAAGCGAGTCCGAAGGCAAGCCCGCGTTAGAGAAGCCGCAGCTGACGTCGGCGG